ATAAACTAATATTAATAAAGAAAATGAAATCCATTAAATTATAATAAAAATAAAGAGCATATTCTAAAACAAAGGCTTTGAATAAAAAAGAGAATAAAACAATTACAATATTCTAATACATTAATTATCTTAAAAGAGAACAAATAAGAGCTAAAAAACTTAATTAATGAAAATTAATGCACATATTTATCAATAAAGGCGTGATACATAATCAATCAGCTCCTATACCCCGTAGGATATCTTACTTTTATTTATAACATAAATCAACGCTAACACACTTTGGAGATTTCAGAATTTATTTGAAAATTATTTTTTGGGAATTGGATTTTTATACTTTCAAACGATTTTCATCAAAATCTGTGCAAAATCTGAAAAAGTGAGGTATCGTGTTCTTATACTGCTAATAAGAAATAATCATGACAAAAAAAAAATAATTATTAGAAAACAAAAATTAATAGGTACCAAAAAATAATCAACTTGATGATTCAAATTATGATTTCAAAGAAATGATTAATTCATGATTAATTCAGTAATTAAAATTATAAATTTGGTCAATATCAATAAAAATTATCATTTGTACACACAGTTAGGAATTTAGACATTACTTATATTTACTAATAATAATGATTATAAGAAATTGATTAAGATTACAAGGAAATTCGTAACAAAATAAAACAACTTTTTGATTAAAATTTTAAGTTGCTAGACTGACTGATTAAAAAGCAAACAACTGTTAAGAGTTAAATTTAAAACAAAAAACGGAGTATTTTTTAAAGGGCATACCTTAAACACATCTTCAGGTACACCAATAAGAAAAGGCATGGGGGCAAAAATATAATCAATTAAAGCCATTGGTAGAACTGGTACAAATAAATGTTGCCATATCATTGGGTAAATTACATCATTTGCAGACTGTACACATGCACTTAACCGGGATAATTTCTTTGATGTAAATATTATCCTTCTCTCAAATAACATTGAAGCAAAAACGGTCATCATATTATTAACATCAACAGCATTATAATATTCAGTTAAGTTTCTCTAAAATAAGTAAAAATATAATAATTTATATAGGTAAAAGAAACATAAATGTATAACTTACATTTTCTGGAATACTAGGAAGACCAAATGGCTTTGGACTTTCTACAGTAAATGTCTAAAAAGGATAATTTTTAATACATATAATACATGTATTATATTAATTAGGAGTAAATTTACCCGTTCACCCTTATTAAAAGGAACAGAAAAAGTTTTTCCTGGGTCAGCTAATTTTGTATTGTAGACAGTCTTTAAGAATTCATCCAAATCTTCAGCCCTTGGACTGTGCATCAAAACAGCAATGGTATCTAAAAACCTTTAAAACGATTACAATAAATTGAAAAATTACTTTCTGCAAATATTACTTGTATAGAGCTTGATGCCATGGTAGATAACTTAATACAACAATTGCAGTTTGAGATTTAGGGTCATGCCTGCAGAATCCAAAAGTCCATTTTGATTTAATATCAGTTAACACAAATGAGTAATGTTGAATAACAACACTAAAATCCAAATAATTAATGCATTACATATTGTGACTACAGTAATTACATACTTTTCAAAATTACAGGGATAAGAAAATTTAGGTATAGACTTTAAGACTTCTTCATCTTTGTAACTTTCTGGGAACTGTTGTAGAATCCAAGCATCTCTTTCTGGTGTGGGTGGCACAATTTCACAAAAACATTCAAAGAAATGTTTAACATTTTCCCTACAACATTTATATGAGCATTTGAATATTTAGCACTTTAAGTTTAAAATATGAAGAATATTGAAAGAAAATTGACTTTTCCATTGCTTAAACTATGAAAAAACGCACCTAATTCTGGAGCCCATATTATCCCTCAGTTGACTGAAACGCACATTGTTATAGGATACAACTTTCTATGACAGTATAATAATCATTCTCTTCTTAAGGTCGCAAGGAGTATTGAAAAATAATTTGAAAGTGCAACATTATGACAATTACATCCGCTACTCTCCACAACAATTAAAAATTAAATGTCATTCAATGGTCAGTTACACATGACAGCTGTTTGTCAATAAACCATTCAATAAACACTTCAACTCAAGCCTCACGCTGCACAAACTTCAATTATACCAACTTCCATTCATCTAATAAAATATTTTTTTTAATTAATTTTTGTAAGACACCTATTTCCTCATCTTAGTAATTTGTTGCATATGAGTGCTAATCTATTAATAAAAATAATACATACCCCTGATTTGAATGATGGAATGAAATTTTAGGACTATCAATTATTAGAAAAAGTGACACACTAGTTGAATAGTTCAAACGCTCCAAGCTCTACTATATATCTCATATCTATCTATATTCCAAATCTTATCTATGTTCCAAACGTAAATTCCAAATATCTATGATTCTAAATCATAGATAATTTCCAAATCAAATCGTCTTAACCTATTATCTATGGTTTTAACTAGGGTTTTAACCTAAATGAAATGTTTATTGTAAAAGTTAAATAAATTTTTGTTTTCTCCATAATGCTTTATTTTATTCGTAACATTCATAATCACATTTATAAATTTAATAGGTAACTAATATGCAGTTTCTATGGAAAAATAATAACGATAAATATTAACATACATTTTCGTTACTACAACATTGATTTGATAATAGCAGTGGAATGTATGGAAGTTACCTTGTATAGAAATGAAACAAAAATAAAATCATTTTAAGGAATTCGAGGAGTTTTATAAACATTATGTGTTATGTGATATAGTGAAGACTGTCTGCAGAAAATTGAGATACAATGATTCGTGTCAATGTTTTGCCTAGAACTATTCGGGATGCCTGTGTAACTTCGTTTTTACTTGTAATGGTCCCTTTGACGTATTGGTTTGAGTTATTCGTCGTTTTTCCGGTGTTTTTTAAACCATGGGGTCTGCTGTACATTATACACATAGGGTTAAGCTTGTTTCTATTATTTAACATTATTTCTAATTTTTTTGCCATAGTATTTACCGACACCAGTATTAGAGGTAGGATGATTTCCACTAAGTTAGACCCCGAATGGCGATTTTGTTATTCTTGTGAGTCTGTGGCTCCACCACGTTCATGGCATTGTAGTGCTTGTGATACTTGCATTTTAAAGAGGGATCATCACTGTATGTTTACGAGTTGCTGCATTGGTCATTTTAATCATAGATACTTTTTCATGTTTATTTTTTATATTTTCATTTCCCTTGCATATTGTCTAGTTTATAATACTCTGTATTTTTGGAATTTAGTAGAATTTAGGTCTTGGATGACAATTGTCAAACTTTTATTTCCCTTAGCGACTCTTTTTATTGATAACAGTTTAACTCAACTCAGCCTCTTTTTGTACTTATTATTAACATTAAGCACCATTTTGTGCGGGGTTCTTTTATATTATCATGGAGATTTAATGCTCAAAGGAAAAGTTAATCATGAAAGGAAAAGTAAAGACAGTAAGTACAATCAAGGAAGAAAAAGAAATGTTACAACAGTTCTTGGTGAACGATGGCATTTAGTGTGGATTTCCCCGTTTATTGAAAGTAAATTGCCAGGAGACGGGATTAACTGGACTGTAACTGAAAATCACAAAACGCAGTAAATGATTTTATTAAATGTTATAATTGTTATACGTAAGACACGATTGTTATTAATGTTGTAAAGTGGACATTTTGTCATAAATGTTTATAAAGAGTTTTTGTCAATTGATTTTACTATTTACTGTTGAATAAAATTGACTAAATCTATTTGAAATTGTTTGCAATAACGTTCTATTGTTAAAATTATGTTACAATTTTTTAAAACAAAACCTTATGACTAAATATGCACTGCGCAGCAAATCGCGCATTACCGTTTCATCATTGCCATACCATAGATAATGCCATACTCCCAGGTACATGACACCATAGTCATATATTAATGAACGTGCCTTAGCTGTATGTCGTTGTAATAATTTCTTGGCTCGGAAAGGGAGAGAGATGGCGTATGGTTTCGGACTAGTGCTATCTGTTTCATGACACGCTTACGCACTATCGTGAGAGAGATGGATATTGTCCGAAACATCGTTCCGTCTCTTTCTTATGTTGTACTACAATTCTAACCGCTAAGGCATGTCAATTAGCGCAGTTAACTACTGCACATATAATACACATATAATACGAAAGATCACCCACTGCCACAGTGGTATCCATATTTAGTTCTCACCTCTCTCCCCTCATACACTAGAATTGACAAACCTTTGTCTTTTTTAATTCTGTCCATAAAATACTATTTTTTTTTTTGAAGTGCACTAATTTTTTATTGATTATTCTCAGAAACACTATAATCAGTCAAAAACATGTATAGATATTTTACAGATTGATTATTTAACGTCACTGAAGCGAGTGAGTGAAAAATACTTAGTAAATCCAGTTCTACATTGACATGGTAAAAATTAAGTAGCCATTAAATTAAACTAATATGATATGAATTGCGATCAATTCAAAAAACTAATCCCACAGCCACAAGAGCAATATTCATAAAGAAAGCGAAATTGCCAATTTACTAGAACAAATTACTGAGCGGGCATCATCAACGTCTTACGCCTTTTATAAAATGTTTGGCAACGTTTCATTATTTCGTATTAAAGTAATCTACTGCGCATGACTAAAAGTATGCTACAAGTACAAGCTTTTAAATGTAAGGGATCGCCATCTTTCGGTTCACTGTCTTTTAATCTTTAGCGCATGTGCGTCTGTTACTTATAACTTGTGAATGCATATTAATGATTGTGCGAAATTATTGCCAAATTAATTTGTTGTCGCGTCGGTATAATAATATAAGTGAGCGATTTAATCGCACTATGCGAAATACCTAGGTAAGAGTCGTATTTTTACACATCATCTACATTTTAGGTTAAGGTAACATATTTAGTGGCGCCAAAAATCCATACAAATGATTTTGTCGGAATATACTTTTTCTCAGTTACCTTACTTTGAGAATAAAGTATTATTAAGGTGTAGGTACCTATTGTTATGTGGGTAAATCACAATAACTAGTTATATTTTTTCTCTGTGAAAATTGACTGGTATAGCTAACTAAAAAGCAAAGTTTAATGTTTTCCTATTTCGTATACCTAGGTCTACTGATACAGCAAGTTCTATTTCTATAATTTACCAAAAATGTATTCGCATTCCTTCAATAAATTCTACAAGTAGAAGCATTGTAGCGTAGCCGTTTTTAACGTTAGTTTGTCATTCAGTAAACAATGTTATGAAGTTTTACAATTTTATGACTAATAAAGTAAAACTATTTCAGATTTATGCAATAATTTCGTTTCTTAAAAAAACGCAAGAACATTGCTCTTTAAAATTTTTTTACTATTAAACTTTTATTCAACAGTCTGCAATTTGTTATGTAATTAAAACAGCCTCGATAGGATAACAATGTAATTTATTTAAAATGGCCGTCTTTAATTACCTAATATGACACACACATAAAAGGTTTTTAATTAATACAAAGAGCGTAACAGTCTTTTTGGATATGGCCTAAAAGTGGTTTTATCATTACCACAATGGCATTTGAATGTGGAAACGTTTCTAATTTTAAATAGTTTACAGTACATATAACTTATTCTAGAAAACTGCTTCTTCTTGACCACTTCTTTGATTTGCCCTTATCTGTAGCAGTTCTCTGATAAGACCAGCTTTTTCCCGTTCTAGCACCGATATCCTATCACTTTTCTTATTAACTTCCTACAAAAAATGAAGCAATTTATTTTCATAATTAAATATTTTGATTCTATTTATATAAATGTTACGGCAATTCGGGACATACTGTATGTGCAGAATGCTTATAATAATTGTGGTTCGAATTAATTGTGCACATTCTTTGTGCAGGAAACGTGAAATTTAATATAGCTAAATAAATATACAAGTATACAATTTCACAAAAGACTTACCTCCGTGAGAAGATGGTTTTGCTGTTTTAATCTTGCGGTAATATCTCGACTGAGATCATGTTGCTGATGCACTTGGGGGTAATGGTGTACAGCTAAGTTCATATGTAGGGGTAAACCACCCCTCTCCCAACTATCTGTTAAAGCAGCTAAATGCCTGTTAACTTCCAAAACCCTTGCTCGTTGAAGCTCTAATCGTTCCTGTTGAGCCTCTGTCCACTGCTCCTAATTATGAAAAGTTGAAATTAGTCTCAGTCTGAATTGTACTATTTGTGACTTCGGATTTTGTTTTTAATGAACTTATTCGGTAATTAAAGTTACGTACTGCTTTAATTGTTTTGATAAAATTAAAATGTTAAAATAGATAAAAATGGGAATTTCAAAATTCTGTAAAGTAACGAAAGACAATTTGTACATAAGATTTAAAAAGATGTCAGATATTTATAAAGGAAATTGTATCCGTTTTAATATATTAACAGTAAGTATAACATTTCTCAACTTTCATCAATTAAGAAAAGACACAGGAATGGTAACTTGGCTACAGACTATAAAGTAAAGGTCGATTAATGTAAAAGGAATAACGTAAATTTCAAACTTATGAGTAATGCCATAACATCTCACCGTTCGAGATTGTGGGAAAGTTAAACATTAAATACCTAAAGCTTTTCTTTGTGAGTAATTACGTAAAATAATAACAAATACTAACGTAAGTAGGTACGCCAGTGTCCCCGTTTGTTATCCTATTGACCTTTTCTACGACACGACGCAGAATATAAAAATGTGCAAATAACCTACTAAGTTTGTTCATATTAAAACGCGTTAACTAATTAGAAACACGAAGGAAATTTTAAATACTTTAAATTGCTAATTTTAATAACAATTTGTGTTGTGCCCATACCATAACGTTTTAAAATGATTATTCCCATTGTGCTATAATTTACTGATAAAATATTATTATTAATAAAATCGGAATAGAGCAATTGCTAAGTAATTATATAGAATTAAATGCATTTTATACTGATATTTTCTGCCTTTTCTAGTACTATTAAATGGAAAGTCACATAATTTCGTGGTATATTTACTTACTTATTTCGTTTTTTTTCTTCTTTAATTAAATATATGTTAAACTCTAAGTACCTACTATAATAATTTTAGTATGTTTGGCAACGTTACCTTTAACGGAAATATCTATCGCGCATGACAGCAAGCCATTAAACCACGGGACTGCCATTTTCGTCGGACGTTCTTTCAATTTTTGTCGTTTTGCGTATAGATTGTGTTTATAAAATTTATCGATGTGGATAAATTTCGTTAATTAAGACAGTAGGTGGTGAAATTATTGTTAAATTACAATTATTTGTCGCGTTTGAGATAGTACAAGTGAATAATAAATAATCACGTTATGGAGAGACGGTAAGAATCTTATTATCGTCTTATATTTACTACAATTTTAGGTTAAGCTTACGTATCACCTACGATTTTGTTTAATAACACATTTCTTAATCGCCTAACTTTGACAGAGTTTTCATAAATTCTTTGACATTTCAGTAATTAAAGATAAAATATCGAAGTTTGTTGATACCTACCTCAATACATATAATATGTCACGTTTCTTTATCGATAACCACCTTGTTGGTGTAGTTGTAAAACGCACATTTTATGACCTATTCTTTTAATATTTGCGTGCTATTAGGAGTTTCAACAGTTACCTACCTACTAGTTCTCTAAATAAAAGCAAAAACGAATCTCCAATTTTTTTAAAAAATTCTACAGGTGGAAGTAGCATTACAATGTTGCCGCTTTTGGACGTTAGTTTTTCATCAAATAATATTATGATGCTTAGTTATTTATTGATAAAAAAAAATCGACTTAAGCTGCTTGAAACAGTATGTTATTAGTCTCTTTCATTCTAATACCAATAGTAAAATTATAATATAAGTGTTTTGAATTCTTAGGATTATAATTGTACCAAGTTATGATTATAAAAATGTATCTTATAATTTCCGTGATGAGAAGTGATTTTTTAGCGTATGTCTTGTTATGGCATTAGCTTTTCGTTAGAAATGTAAAAAATGCATTAAAAACTGCATTCATTAACATTTAACATTAATTTATATTCGAAGTGTTGCTCAGTTAATTTTGAAGTGTGAGTACAAAATGTTTATGTTTAATCAATAGTTCAAATTTAATGAATACTGAGGATTACAATCTTGAAGTACTCCGCGGTATAAGTAGCATGTACTATTTAAAATTTGATATCTACAACTTTAGTTCGGTTTGTCTAAATTATTGTTAAAATCCATGTAGACCAAATCGACTCGAAGCAAAAATTTCATATGCCTAATGAATTATTAATGAATATTCTACTTAAATATGAAAATTGTGTTGTACTACTTACCACGTGACCCATTCGACCCAAGTATTTCATTTTTTCTTGTACAACAGCAATTTGTTTTAAATACCAATCCCTAGCCTTTTCAATAGCATTTAATCCCGACATTAGTACATCTTTTTCTTGTTCTATCTGCTTCATTCTTTTAAGCATATTGTAATCTATTCCATTTTGTAAAGTGTGTCTTCTGGGTTCTCGTCTTCTGTTGTTTGGCTTTTTTTGGTATATACCTCCAGATGCGGGTACATCTGTTTGGGTTGACGCCTTCCCATCACCTAAACCTCTTCCAGAAGTACGCGGAGGGATTGCGTTATATTGAGGAGATCGCTTTCCAGATTTGCCGTCCTGATCATTCAGCATCAAACCTGTTAAATAATAAAATTTATAAAAATCTTACCTCTACATTTAGTGCGTTCGCGCTTATGTAATTATTATTTTTACTTGGACTAGACGAATTCTTTAATTTTAATTTCTTAATCTCTAATAATGAATGTGTTTGAAAAGTACTGCTTTAAATTTGTGTCATGATACTCCTTTATTTGGGAATTAATTCAACAGAAAGCAAAGCTGAGAACTTTGAAATTGCTTTAAAAGCAATGATTTTTCACTAATTTACCGTTAAAGGTTTTTGAAATGATCAGTGTCATTCCTCTCTTATCTACACATTGTTACAAAAATTTTATTAGTTTTGTTTTCGAGAATACGTTAAATATTTTTACCCATTTGCCAGTTCTGTAAGGCAGTTCGTATTTCCGCTCGGTCAACATTGGTGATGCCCACATTCAGAGCCGATCGGGGGGGTTTGGGGGGACCATACAGCGCCGGTTTGTTTACTGTAGATTTTTCAAATCCATGCATGTTTTCAACGGACTCTCCAACATCTTTATTTTTATTACGTTCTCCTAACAGTTGAGGCATACTCAGCGTTCGTTGTTGATGTTGTTGAGGATTAGGCCTGATTGACGGGACGTTATTCCAAGTAGGAGGTTGAGGAGATGTATCTATGTCTAATAAGGGTGCACTGGGGGGTCTATTTTGTTGGGATTGTACTCCTGCAGGCTCCGTTGTCCTTTGTCTTTGTTCCACCTGATTCCTTAAGAGGCATATTTTAAGACCAGCGCAGAATCTTTCGAATGATAACATCCCATTTGGAGGTGTAACTTTCCTGAGACTTTCCAAGACGCCCTTGGGCAAACCTTTCGACTCATCGTCTTGCCATCTGTTCTCTATGTCGGAAAAATTTACGTAACCAGTTTTTTTATCGTCCATAATGTCGAAAAGGGTGCGCATTGCGGTGACGAATTGTTTGGGGAGTCCGTCTAATGTTGAGGTGCGATTATGGGACGTCATGCCAAGGAACAGCGGACCGTTGGAATTGAAATTCAAGACGATGAAGACATACACAACACGCACACTCTACCAGACACTCAAACGGACACTGCTGTTTGATGCAGAGTTTTGTTATTGTGATCGGTACAATCGACGTGGGTATACCTGCAGGTCGTGCTTGCGAGAGTGGGAACCTGTTGCACAGGTACATGTGTACGGAGAAAGGTTTACGTTGTTACGACGTGATGGGTGTAGGTTGGTTTTAAACGGATTTACTCATTTGGTGGACTTGCAATTTTCGATTTAATAAACTGACTAGTGAATGAAGTGAGATCAATAAATTAATCAATACATTTTTTATTTAATGCACTGCAGGGATAGATATACAGGGGCAAAAGATTAATATGCTTAGATTTGCAGATGATATAGCAGTATTAGGGTCTAGTAAGGAGTTCGAGAGAGCTTTAAAATAAAATATGAAAGGAGTAGAATTACGACTTTTGCTTAAAAATATATTTAATACACTCTTTTCACTTATGGTGTACAATTCGGCACAGTCAAAGAGCAATACCACTTAACTCGCTCAACTACCAAGAAAGAATGCCTCTTTTCCCTTTTGGTATATACATAGGTATATACCATACATATATTCATAGACTAAATAGTAAACTAAATTATAAACAAAACACCGCTCTCCGGCAAGGAATAGTAGTCCCGCAGAATATAAACAATGACGTGGTCACGAACAGCCAGAGGAACTCCAAGGCAGAAATAGGTTCTTACAAATAGAAGCGGTATTGACAAAACAGTACCGTATGAAAATAAATAAAAGTAAAACAAAAATACTGATATACAAGGAAAGAAAAAGTAGGGAAAGAACGAACATAAAGGTAGGAGACGAAAAATTAGAAGAAATGACTGATTTTAGGTATCTAGGAAGTCAGATAAGTCAGGACGGAAGGGGTAGTAGGGATATAAGGCGGAGGATAGCGCAGGGTCGAGTCGGTGTCAATTAAAAGAAGTCACTTCTATACTCACGAACAATTAATTTAGAAATTGGAAAAAGATAGTTAAAGGTTAATGTTTGAAGCGCGGCGCTGTACGGGTGCGAAACATAGACGGTGAGCGCGGTGGAAAAGAAAAGGTTAGAAGCGTTCGAAATGTGGTATTACCGGCAAATGATGAGGATACTGTGGATAGAGAAGGTTAGAAATAAAGAGATATTAGAAAGAATAGGGGAACACAGGACTCTGTGGAAGTCAATAAGAAATAGGCGAGATAGGTTTGTAGGACACCTTCTCAGGCATGAAGGTGTAATCAGAGACATATTAGAGGCAGAAACGGAAGTTAGAAGGGGTAAAAGTAGGCCTATATTAGATTACTGGCAAATATTTAAGGATGTGGGTTGTTCTAGTTTTAGGGAAATAAAGATTAGTTAGGAAAAAGTGGATGTGCGTGTCCAATCAGTCTTAAGACTGACGACCTTATGAAGATGAATAAGAATATCCTATGATTCGAATGTGCTATTTTCAAAAACTTTGAATTTGTACCGTGTTTGTAATTTGCATTATTTTTATTGCTTTAACAACTGTTCCGATATAATCTAACCTTTTGAAAAAGTTACAAAGCAGCGACAGTTGTTAAGTCAATAAAAATATGCATTTACAAATGGAGTTTTTATTTATTTCAATTCAAATGTTTGCACCAACTAAGTGAAAGTAGACTCAGTCAACTAGATTGATGATTGAAATAACTTTAAGTTTGTAGGTATGCAATTTTGCATCCATAATTACTTATTTGTTTAAAGGATGTAACATTTAAAATCTATTATCATAAATATCTATATAAGTAAAAAAAATAATTACGTAACTTGATCAAAAAATGAAGAGAAAACCTATAATGTTATACCATCTCTGAAATTAATTTTCACTTTTTGTATAATTTTTATGCAGCTTTTAACGTTTTAACATTAGTTATTATTGATATATCTACTGTAGAAAGTGTTCAAATTTATGTAAGTATTTCTTACATAATGAAAATATACATAATTTAGAATTTTTTCATAAATAAATTTGCTATTTTTTATCGGATATTAAAAATAAATAAGAGAGAATTAAATTCGACAGCTTTCGTTTCATTTGATATATTTTTTTATTAGTACCTACCTATTTAATACTTAATAAGTACCTAATTCTCTAATTTTGTAATTTTGAGGCAATACCAAAAATCGAATTATTTTTCCGTACTAAGTACCTTTCTTTTCGATTTTGTGCAATTCATTTCGATAAAAAGTACAATAATTACTTCTCGTCTACCCACGCACGACCTTGACATAACTAGAAAATAACGTTTTCCTAACCGATTCTTAAAGTTAATTCCGTAACCAACTTTAGCGAGCAATTACTTATTATTTACCAACCGCTATTTCTATTAATAAGGATTTCTTCATCGTTTTTCGGAATAATAGACTTTGCAATTTTTACTTTGTACACGTTACATTACAGATGTCGTTCAAATTCCTTTTTTAATTACAACTTCTAATTTCTAATTATTTGTAATAAATACAAAAACAATTGTTATCATTTATAAGTAATTAGGTGTACCCTGCGCGCGTTGCTACGCCACCAACTAAAATATATTTGAAGGAAAGACGTTGAACAAATATTTAATTCATTTTGAGTCATTTTATTGATTTTGTTCATTTCGAAAAAATTGTGATATTGCAGCGTTTCGTTTCAATTCGATATTTATTGAAGTGCTGTGGGATACACAATATTTCCTGTTTTTCCTGTCGAAAATTGGTCGTACCAACTCAGAAACCTTCTTTGGCTCATGCACAACAACTTTGCTAAAGATCATCACATGATCAAATGCATAGTTTACGATTCTATAAAGGACATACAGACAAACATTCATTTATATATAACAGGTCAATTGAAAAGTCCCCCGCCTAAAATAGTAAAACACATTTTTTTTGCAAAATTCGTTTTTCTTATTCAACATAATTCCCTTCAAGGGTGATACACTGATTATAGCGATCCTCCAACTTTTCGATACCATTTTTGTAGTACGATTTGTCCTTTGCTTCAAAATAGGCCTCAGTTTCGGCGATCACCTCTTCATTCGACGAAAATTTTTTCCC